CCGTGGGAGAAAGATGAGGCTTTCTGCTCCCGTAAAGATTTACAGCCTCGGAAACCCTGCACAGGGTCGCTATGGGTCGGAACCGACTCAACGGCACTTAACAACAACAACAATAACCATGTAATACATATACATATTAACAAAGACAGGAGGGAAAAAATACTGACACAGAATAGGGGAAATTTAAAACATTTTTCTGTTCCTATTCTAATTTTTTAAAATTCAAATAATTTTTAAAAATAAAAGAGATCTGCATTAAACAACACCCAGAGAAGTCTTGAAAAACTTCCCTACTGGAAGGTTCTGGAATGTAGGGCATCCTCTTTAAGAGGATGGAATTTTCTTCCTCCTGGGTCCAGAGTGCAGGGAATCCTATGAAGACCCTTTGCTAGTAGGGCCCCAATCCCAGCGAGTTGGGACCCCAGTCAAGCGGGAATCTTACCTTCTTCAGACTGACTGCAGAAGTTGAACTTGGGCTTTTGTGAAGGCACAATAAATAGTAAAATGGCCACAAAGATGGCCACAGTGGCATCAGAGGCATATCTAGATGGGGGAAGAAAATGCAAGACTTTAGTGCAGTTCAGTCACAAAGCAACACTCATTCAACACATCTGTCTTAACTCCACCTGTTCTGTCTAAATGCTTGTACATGAAGATGCTACTGTTGTTAAGCGCCATGGAATCGGTTCCAACTCACAGTGACCCTGTGTAGGGTTTCCAAGGCTTTTAAATCTTTGTGGGAGCAGAAAGCCTCATCTTTCTCCCACAGAGTGGCTCAAACACAGAATATAACAAATGTGGGTGAGGATGTGGAGAAACTGGTACCCTCATGCATTGCTAGTGGGGATTAAAAATGGGGCAACCACTGTGGAAAACATTTGGTAGTTCTTCAAAATGTTAAAAATATGATCCATGGTTGATGATGCATGGAGGGGATTGGAACCATGGCAGTGAGATGATATAAGATGGAATGAATGTAAAACTAAAGTTCTCCCATGTAAATAGGGGATATCATATAATTCACAATAAAACATTAAAAAAATATATGATCCAGTAATTCCACTCTGCAGTATATACCCCAAAGAACTGAAAAGGGATTCAGACACATGTGCACCAATGCTTACTGTAGCATTATTTACAAAACCCCAAAGATGGGAACAGCCCAAACGTTCATTAACAGGTAAATGGATAAACAAAGCACAATGGGATAGTATTCAGTCACATTAAAAAAATGAAGCATTGATACATGAATACAACATGAATAAACCTGGAAAGCGTTGTTGTTGTTCTTAGATACCATCTAGGTGAGGCTGAGTCATAGTGACTCTGCATAACAGAAGGAAACACTACCCAGTTCTGCGCTGTCCTTACAATTATTGTTACGTTTGAGCCCATTATTGCTTGGACCATGCCATGCCACCTTGCTGGGTTCTAGCTCTTTTTGCTCACCTTCCACTTCACCAAGCATGATGTTCTTCTCCAAGGACTGGTGCCTCTTAACAAAATTTCCCAAGCACGAGAGACGATGTCTCACCATCACCCTGATTTCTAAGGAGCATTGTGGCTGCACTTCTTCCAAGACAGATTTGTTTCTTCTTCTAGTAGTCCATGATACTTGCCATATTCTTCACCAACACCATAATTCAAATGCATTGATTACTTTATGGTTTTCCTTATTAATTTTCCCACTTTTACATGCATATGAGGTGACTGAACATATGCACCTTAGTCCTCAAACTGGTATCTTTGTTCTAGAACACTTTAAAGAGATCTTTAGCAGCAGATTGACCTAATGCAATACGTCATTTGAAATTACTTGACTACTGCTTCCATGAGCATTGATTGCTGATTCAAGCAAAATGAAGTCTTTGACAACTTCAATCTATTTTTCATTTATCGTGATGTTATTTATTATGAGAATTTTTGCTTTCTTTACATTGAGGTATAATTCCTATGGAAGGCTGTAGTTTTTGTCTTTATCAGTAAGCATTTTAAGTCCTCTTTGATTCAAGCAAACAAGGTTGTGTCATCTACATATGTTGTTGTTAAGTGCACTCAAGTCCATTCCAACCCATAGCGACCCTGTATAGGGTTTTCAAGGAGCAGCTGGTGAGCCTGAACCACCGACCTTGCAGTTCGAATGACTTTGCAGTCTGACACATTAGCCCATAGCACCACACCAGGACTCCAAAATATAGAAGGTTGTTAATGAGTCTTCCTCCAATCCTGATGCCACATTCTTCTTCATATAATACAATTTTTTGGATTATGTGCTCAGTGTACAGATTGAATAAGTGTGATGAAAGAATACAACCCTAGTACACACCTTTCCTGATTTTAAACCTTTCCGTATCCCCTTGTTCTATTCTAGTGACTGTCTCTTGGCCTATGTGGAGGTTCCTCATGAGCACAATTAAGTGTTCTGGAATACCCATTCTTTGTAATGTTATCCATAGTTTGTTGTGATCCACACAGTCAAATGTCTTTGCATAGTCACTAAAGTACAAGTAAACATCTTTCTGGTATTCTCTGCTTTCAGTCAAGATCCATCTGTCATCAGCAATGATATCCCTAGTTCCATGTCCTCTTCTGAATCTGGCTTGAATTTCTGGCAGCTCCCTGTCCCTGTACTGCTGCAATAGTTTTTTCATTATCTTCAGAAAAATTTTACTTGCATGTGATATGAGCAATAGTATTAGATGATTTCTGCATTCTGTTGAATCACGTCTTTGGAATGGAAACACATATGGATCTCCTCCAATAGCCAAGTAGCTATCATCGAAACTTCTTTGCATAGACTAGTGAATGCCTCCAGTGCAGCATCAGTTTGTGGAAAGATTTCTATTTTATTCCATCAGTTTCTTCTTGAGCCTTGTTTATCACCAGTGCCTTTCAGTGCATCTTGGACTTTCTCCTTCAGTACCATCAGTTCTTGCTCATGTTACTTCTTGAAATGGCTGAACATAGACCAATTATTTATTTATGTATTTTGAATGTTCTACTATGAATTATGTGATCGTTTACAGGGGAGAACGTTAGTTTTACATTCAGCCTATCTTATATTGCTTCATTGCCATGGTTACAATCCCCTCCATGCAACATCAACCAATCAGCGGGTATATCCTAAAGCCTGCCCCCCTCGCCACCACCCCCCATCTTCAGCACACAGTCCCTCTCCCTCTCTGTGTCCAAAGTCCCCAGCTGCTCCATCTTTCCACATCATTGTTTCTGCCTCCATTTCAGGCATCACTGCTTCTCTGGGTAAGGTCCTGCTCTCTGCTCTTCTCCCTTCATGGTCCCAGGGACCTCCGCTCCTAGACTGCAAAGTTAATCACTCCCCACCCTGCTACAAAACGTCTACCTTTACATTTCCGACCCTCACAATCAGTCCTGATAACAATTATTAATTATTCCCTATTGTATCACAAGAGACCTATCTGCATTTCCTTTCACCAGCCCCGCCTAGACAGATTGGATATTATTCAGTGGAGATTCTACCTTCCTCCACGCCCTCTGGATCTAGGTTCCTTCTTGAAAGCTTGTAAATCAGTCACTTCTTGTCTTTGTAGCCCCCCCATTTTGTGTAGCCAATGTCCAAGTTGCCCATCCCTGTCTACTCTGTGTATGGAGGGGATAGGAATGATCCTTGCTGTAAAGATTTGTTCCCTCTTTTGAGCTACTGCATCCATAGGTGTAGGTCAGGTTCATCAAATTGTATCAGACTACTGTTATTTTCCTCTTCTTTCTTCTTCTAGTTGAGCTCTGATCATCCAGTCATTGAAGCCAGGTCAAGTGGGTATTATCTGCAAGTGTGGGTGTTCATGTGCATATGCCCTCTCTTCTTATCAGCTGGATGCTTCATTCTCCACTCTTGTCCTCTGTGGCTGTGTCTCTGACTCTGGGCCCAAGAGTCCCTAGGTTTTTCCACACTGCTAGCCAACCAGGTCTCCACCCAGGTTCACAGGAGTCTATTGAACGTTGTAGGGCTTAGCTGGCAGCTTCATTGATGTTTTTCCATCATTTCCCCTTATCGGTGATGAATGTGGTCACCAATCAGAGCGTGTATTCCCACTGAATCTTGGAAGGGGGTTTACTCTGAGGGGACCTGACCCTTTGCCTAGACTAATTATTTTTGGTACAGTGGATGTGTATTCCTTCCATCTCCTTTTGATGCTTTCTGCATCCTTTAGTATTTTGCCCATAGATTCCTTCAATATTTCAACTGAAGGCATGAATTTTTCTTTAATTCTTAAAGTTTGAGAAATCCCTGAGCCTGTTTTTCCCTTTTGATTTTCTAACTCTAGGTCTTTGCACATTTCCTTATAATACTTTGTCTTGTTGAGCTGCCCTTTGACATTTTCTGTTCAGCTCTTTTACTTCTTAATTTCTTGCAGTTGCTTTAGCGTCTTTACATATAAGAGCAAGTTTCAAAGTCTTGTCTGACATCTATTTTGGTCTTTTCTTTCTTTCCTGTCTTTTAAATGACCTTTTGCTTTTGATGTCATCCCACAACTCTTCTAAACTTTGACAATTAGTGTCTAATGTATCAAATCCATTCTTGAGATTGTCACTAAATTCAAGTGGGATATCTTCAAGGTCATATTTTAGCTTTCCTGGACTTGTTTTATCTGTTCATCTTCATCCTGAACTTGTTAAGTGTTGTTGAGTTGGATCTGACTCACAGGAACTCTGTAGAGGGTTTCCAAGGAGTGACTGGTGGGTTTGAACTGGTGGTCTTGCAGCTAGCAATCCAGTCCTTATCCTATAGCACCACACCAGTCTAAATTTACATATGAACAATTGATGGTCTGTTCTACAGTTGGCCCTTGTCCTTGTTTTGACTAATGTCATTGAGTTTTTCCATTGTCTCTTCCTACAGATGTAGTCAATTTGATTCCTGTGTAGTCCATCCGATGTGTATAGTCACTATTTACATTGTTGAAAAAAGGTATTGCAATGAATAAGTCTTGCAACATTCTATCAAGACATTTCCAGCATTGTTTCTATCACCAAGGCCATATTTTCCAACTACTGATCTTCCCTCTTTGTTTCCAATGTTCACATTCCAATCACCAGTAATTATTAATGCCTCTTGATCATCTATTTGGTCAATTTCAGACTGAAGAAGTTGGTTGTTGTTGTTAAGTGCTGATGAGTTGGTTCTGACTCATAGTGGCCCTGTATAAGATTTACTGAGGAGTGGATGGTGGGTTTGAACTGCAGACTTTGTGGTTTGAAGTCCAGTGCTGACGCTACAGCTCCACACCAGGATTTCATCATTAGCTTTAGTGGTTCATGCATAAATTTGAATAATAGTGGTATTAACTGGTTCTCCTTGTAGGCATATGAATATTATCCTGTCACAAGCAACACTGAACTTCAAGACAGATCATGAAATACTCTTCTGACAATGAAAGCAATTTTATTTCTCTTCAGTTTATCATTCATGGCATAATAAATCATATAATTGTCTGATTCAAAATGGCTAATTCCAGTCCATTTCAGCTCACTAACGTCTACGATAGTGATGTTTTTGCGTTCCATTTCATTTTTTACAATTTCCGATTTTTCTGAAGTCATACTTTGTATATTCCATGTTCCAATTATTCATGGATGTTTGCAGCTGTTTCTTCTTTGAGTTGTGCCACATCAACAAATGAAGGTTCTGAAAGCTTTGTTCCGTTCATGTCATTAAGGTCTGCTCTACTTTAAGGAGGCAGCTCTTTGCCAGTTGTATTTTGAGTGCCTTCCAATCCGAGGGACTCTTCTTCTGGTATTATATCTGACAATGCTCTGCTGCTGTTCATAAGGTTTTCAGTGACAAAACTTTCAGAAGTGGTCTGTCTCTCCTTCTTCCTAGCCTGTCTTAGTCTGTAAACCTCATTGCAATCTGTTCACTATGGGTAACCCTGCTGATATTTAAAACGCAGGCAGCATAGCTTTCAACAGCAGGGCAACTGTAAAACATTATTGGAAAACGCTAGACACCAAAGTTTACGTAAGACATGATTCCATTTATATGAAATGTTCGAAATAGGCCAATCCATAAAGACAGAACACAGATTGTGGTTGCCAGTGAGTACTTAACAAATAGGAGCTTTCTGTTGGGGTGACGAAAATGTTTTGAAAATAGAGGTGGTAGCTATACAACATTGTGAATGTATGAAATTCCACTGAATTGCACACTTTAGAATGGTTCATCTTATGTGAATTTCACCTCAATAAAAGAAAAAGTACAAAGAAACAAGCTCAATTGGGTATAAAAATTGGTGTCTACAAGAACACCCAAACTTGCAGATAGTACCTATTTGACCTAGCCCCAATGGCTTGATAATCAGAACTCACCTAGAGGGAGATTAAAAAAACAATTTTTGATAAAGGAAATGAGTATAAATTGCTACAGTTTGATGTACTTGACCTATACTTGTGGATGTAGTAGCTTAAAATACCAACTGAGAGGGAAGGAGTCTTCACATCAAGTATCAATCCTATCCCCTCCGTATCCAGGGTATATAGGGACAGGCAACTTAGACATTGGCTACCTAAAATAAGGGGGCAATAAAGGCACAAAGTGACTGGCTTACAAGTTTTCAAGAGGAAGTTTAGTTTAAGAGTGTGTAGGGGAAGGAAGAATCCTCACTGAATAGTTTTCATCTTGTCTAGAAGGGTCTGGTGAAAAGAGATGGGGATAAAATTCTTATGATTCAATAATGAGTAATTGTTATCATGACTAATTGCAACTGTCACAACTGTAAAGGTAGAAGTTTTGTAACAAAAACGTAGGTGTAGTTAATCTTACAGTTCAGGAACAGAGGGCCCTAGGACCATCAAGGGAGAAGAGCATGAGCAGAATGTGGGACCCTATCCAGAGAAGCAGCAACACCACAGATGGAGGCAGAGATGAGAATATGGAGAGAGGGAGCAGCTGAGGACTCTAGACTCATGGAAAGAGAAGGACTGAGTGCTGGTGGCCAGGGGACAGGCTTACAGAATGTGCCTTTTGGTTGTTTAAATTATTATATATTCCTGAGTGTTTTTGTGTACACCTCCACACACACACACACACACACCCCACCCCAAAGGGAATAGAAGCAAATACTGTTGGATGATGATGCAAGGAGACTGTAGTCATTTCAATGAAATGATGGTGTAAATCCAATGTTCTCCCATTGTAAACTATCACTCAATTCACAATCAAAACTTTAAAAAAAAAATTAGTGTCTGAAACATTAGATCAGGACTGGGTGGTAAATTGAGTTCTGATTGGAAACAGAGCCTCACATTATTGGTCTAGCTCTACCACCAACTTGGGTGGTCTTGAACAACCTACTTCCCTCTCCTAGCCTGCAATGCTCCATGGGTGAACTTTGTGACCTCTTCTTGCCCAGATTCTCTAGATTTCTGTGCTTACCAGTGTGGGGTTTAGAATTTAACTTTACACAAATAATTTGGTTCAAAGAATGTAGTCTTTACCCTTGGTTCCTGAAATAAGATCTCTAAAAATTCCCTGGAATTTAAGTGTGGTCAGTGATGAACACTCCAGACCATACCTAACAGGTTATGCCATTAAGGTGATGAAGTCACCCTGAGATTGGGGATTGGCCAGACTAGACGTTCTCACCACAGAATACCTTATGAGCCCCTCTTATCAGCCAAACAGAAGGGAGAGCGGGATGGAGCTTGCATTACTCCAAGTAAAAGCTTTGGCTACTAAATCTCCATGAGCTTCCTGGTTGATGAGAAATACCCGTTTTCAGGTGGATGACTCACTGGAGCTTGATGTTGAGACTCCTCCCAGACCTCGCTCTATGTATCTCTCCTTTATGCTGATCCTGCTCAGCTGCTGGCATCTGAGGCCTTGGGCAGAGTTGGGAGTCTGGAGGGCATAGTGTGAGCACTATGCTGGCAGGGTAGTTAAGGTCAGAGGAAAAAGTGCTGCATATGGAGGTGGTGTTGGAATTGAACAGAGAAGTGAAAGTAGAGATTTTGATTTATGTTGATTATGAGATCATAGGTGGTGTCAGAAAAGGTAGTGTTTGTGATTAGTCCACAGATAACAATCCTGACCAGTAGGGACTTTGGCGCTGACCGGACTTGCCCTTCCAAATGGACTAACTCGCCATAGGAAGCCATGTCTCTACTCACATCTCCTGCCTTGACTAGCATAGAACATTCTTCCATCCTAAAAATATCTTAGCTGGAAAAAAAAAAAATTATATATATATATATATATATCTTAGCTGGGACAGGAACTACAGATGCCCCCCCCTTTTGCCATGTTTCTGTCTAAAGAATCTTCTGGACCCTGGATGTGTGTCCTGGGAAGGACTTTCCCAGGTCTCAAGAACAACAAGAAAGGAAAGATGGCAGAGCTGAGATTTAGAACCCCTAACTCTGGAAGCCCCACTTCTGGCCCAACAAATCGCTCTATATCACAGCCCTGGCCCCCCTGCCTGGCCAAATATTTTCAGCTCAGCCTGTTGGGGGAGAAAGACATTCCTCAGGAACACACCTGAAGTCTTTTCCATGAAGACTGATGAGAAAGAAGTGACTCGTATAACCAACAGTGTGTTTTCTGAAACCCACCTCCTGAACAGAGGACTTGCTCCAACCAAGCATGAGTGGCCCATGGCCAAGGGCAGCAGCGTTTAGACACCATTGCACTAAGCCAGAGGGTTCTGTGGAATGAATGACTTACTTGGTGCCGCCTTCCGTCCAGGCAATGGACAGCCATCCGGGCATGAAGCCAGGGTCTCGGGAGAACCACAGGACCACAAGCAGCACGAAGCAGATTAGGACATTGGCCTCGGCAAAGGAGAAGGACCCTAGCTTCCTGTATTCCTCCTGCAGTACTTCATAGGCAGCCTTCTCATTATTCTCCCTTTCTGTTCCACAGCCCCAGGATTTTTTAAAACTAGAAAAGAAAACAATAAAAAAAATGAGAGAACAGTCTATCAAATGCAATATTCTTCAGCCATGAAGAGAAATGGTGTGGATGAACCTTAGAAACACTGGTGTGTTAAGTGAGATGTTATCAGTCACAAAAGAATCCACATTGTATAAGTCCATTTAAGAGGAAATATCTAGAATAGGCTAAGGCATAGAAACCAAGGTTTATTAGTGGGCAGTCAGCAGGGGTGAGAGGAAGGGGGAATGGGAAGTTATTGCTTAACAGACACTGAGCTTGAAAAGTTTGGGAAATAGATCATAGTGATGGTTGCACAATATGGTGTCTGCAATCCGTGTCTCTGAACTGGACACTTAAAATGGCCAAAGAAAAAAAAAGATGAGGGAGCGGCAAGTTTAGGGTGCAGAGCAGGTGGGTGGCTGGCCCCACACTGTGTAGCAGAAGGTGGTAGAAGGATTGTAGTGTGGCCTCTCGGCTGCTATGGGGGCTGAGGCAAGGCCCTCCTTCGCTCTTCCTGCCTCCTGCTCATCTGCCGAATCTACCTCAGAGGATGTAGGTGGAGATGACTCTGCTGGCATTTAGGAGTCTGTTTGGATCTGTGGATCTCTACCAAGCACCCATCTTCGGGCTCCTGCTGTTCTAGAGACTCTAGGGCCAGGCCAGGGTCTTCTACTTTCCAGGATAAGGAGCGAGTACTCTTGGAGCCCAAGGCTACACTGGGTGTTGACTATCTGTCCTCAATTCTCCAGACCATGGACTGCATTGTAAATGCAGCCATCTAATGCTGGTTCCCTCCCAGTGGGACCTCCAAGCCTTCAAGGCCCTCTTAGGCAAAGCAGTTTCATACTCATCCCTGGGTTCATTTAATAGGGGGAGCATTAACATGGATCCTGGTGGGTAGGTGGTGGGTTATGGGACCACAGTGTCCTGCTGCTGCCGAGTGGTCTTCACCTTGGTGCTTATGAACTTGGACAGACTGTGCTGCCAAGTGAAGAAGATGTGGAGGGATCCTTGAGCCCCTGCATGCCTCCACCATAGCAAGGGTTCAGGGGAACCCTCCTCCCCATTTCAGGAGGCTAGTCTGATTAGGAAAATTGGTCATAAACCATCAGGATTAGCCCATGTGGAGTCCCTGGACAGTATGAATGGTTAACATGCTTGGCTACTCACCGAAAGGTTGAAGGTCTGAGTCCACCAGAGGTGCTTTGGAAGAAAGTCCTGGTGATTTACTTCCAAAAATCAACCATTGAGAACCCTAGAAAGCACAGTGACTCTGACACACATGGGGTCACCATGAGTCAGATTTGACTTAAGAACAAGTGGTCATTCTAGTTTAATATCCCATGTAGTACTGGTTGGTCCTGAGGAGTCTGGATGTGGCCTTGGAAGCTGGCCATAAATAAACTCAGGAAGACACAGGTTTTCTGGATTATGCTAGAGGCAGTGACCGTGACGTTGTTCTCCATGATTATCGAGATGAGGAACTTGACAGTAGGCAGATGTGCTTCCTGAACTAGAGACAGGGGCCTCACTTGCCTCAAAAGAGGCAGTATCAGAGGTCACAAAATGTAGAGTCACCAGGTCCTGGCATGTTCCTGTCTTTCAAGATGGGTGTGAAAAGCTGTCTTTTATCTCTCCACTCAGGAATCTAAATAAGGCTACATAGGATGATAAGGCTCCCAGTGAGAGCAACAAGTCAGGAAAGGCTAAGATGGGGCCACAGTCTCCGCAGTCCCAACACGTCAAAGTCTTCCGTGACAGCCAAGAAGAGCTGATGGGGGACAGGCCAGCTTCAGGCTCTTGGTTGGGAGCATCCTGGAACCTGGTGTTCACAACAGTCCAGACGGTGCCCTTGTAGTCTTGGAGCCAGGCCAGCTCCTCTGGCTCTCCCTCTGTGATGAAATTCCCTTGGCCTCAGGGCTCCAGGGTAGCCCCCAGGCTGAATGGGGAGGTCACAAAAGGGCTCCTGGCAGGGAGCTGGGAGAGCATGCCCCCAAAGGCATCAAAGGCAGCAACGGTTGGAGCCCTCAAGAGAAGATATAATGTAGTGGCTTGAAGGTACAAGTGCTGGAGCCTGACTGCCTGGGTTCTAATCCCAAGGCCACTCAGTTAACCCATCTGTGTCTGTTTCCTTATCCGTACATTGAGTACAGCAATTGCACCTACCTCACAGATTGTTGGAAAGATTAATTCAATTCATATATATACAAAGAACATAATAGGGCATCTGACACATATAAAACCTAAAACCAAACCCACTGATGTTGTGTCAATTCTGACTCATTGGAAAGAGCAGAAGTGATTCGTCAGGTTTCTGAGGTTGTACATCTTTACAGAAACAGACCGTCTCTTCTTTCTCCTGGAGGGTTTGAACCACCAGCCTTTTGGTGAGTAGCCCAGTGCCTAACCCACTGCGTCACCTCCCTGGAACATATAAGCATTCAATAAATGCTGGTCGTTATTGCCAGTATTGCTAAAAATAGAGGAGACACAGACAAGCATCTGCAGCCTGCAGCAGGTTTGGCCCGGTTCTCCTGAGAGGCCTTCGGGACAGTCAAGAAACAGGTGTGAGAAGCAAAGACAGGGGCCTCCCATCCACCTGTGTGCAGGTCAGGATGGAAGGGCGTGTCAGGATGCCTACTATGAGGAGGAGGAAGATGACTGCCTTGATTGCCTATTGTTGTTGTTATTGTTAGGTGCCATCGAGTCCGTACCAACTCACATCGACCCTACACGCAACAGAACAAAACACTGCCCGATCCTGGGCCAACCTCACAATTGTTAATACGCTTGAGCCCATTGCTGCTGCCACTGTACCAGTCCATCTCATTGGGGTCTTCCTCTTTTTCTCTGACCCTCCACCTTACCAAGCATGATATCTCCTTCTCCAGCAACTGGTCTCTCCTGACAATATGTCCAAAGTATGAGAGATGAAGTCTGGCCATCCTGGCATTCTGAATGTACTACTTCCAATACTGATCTGTTGGTTCTTTTGGCAGCCCACGGTACTTTCAATATTCCCCTCCAACACCGTAACTAAAATGCATCAATTCTTCTACGGTCTTTCTTATTCACTGTCCAGCTTTCGCATACATATGAGGTCATTGAAAATACCATGGCATGGGTCAGGTGCACCTTAGTCCTTAAGCTGACATCTTTGCTCTTCAACACATTGTGTAGCAGATTTGCCCAATGCAATACATCATTTGATTTCTTGATTCTGACTCATAGCAACCTTGTATGGTGCTTCCAAGGAGCAACTGGTGGGTTTGACCCATCAACCTTGAGGCTCAAACTGACCTTGTGGTCCAGTGCATTATGCTGCAGCACCACACCAGGATTTTGATTCCCTATGTTGTTGTTGTTAAGTGTAGTCAAGTTGATTCCAACCCATAGCAACCCAGTATAGGGTTTCCGAGGAGCAGCTGGTGAGCTTGAACCACCAACCTTGCAGTTGAAAAGGCTTTGCAGTCTGGTGCATTAACCCAGAGCACCACACCAGGACTCCCTGATTCCCCTGAGTCACTGTTAATGGCAGACATTCCAAACAGGTCCTCCTTCAGGAGAAAATGTAGGAAAGCGTTTCATTTTGCTCCTTAAATCAGAGGTGTTCACAGGCACCTTTGTCTCCCTGCTCTGACCTTTCTTCCCTCTGGTTTCTTACTCCTCAGTTCTTCACTTGGTCCCTATATACTAAAGCACTTCCTATCCTTACATGAGAAGACCACTTTACACCACAATTAAAATCCCTGGCTTTAAAAACAACAACGCTTCACAGGTGTTAGTTTGTCAGTTGAATTTCATGGTTTCTGTCCAAGATCTGGGTGCTGTCAAGGTTGAAGTGGAGAACTGGCCGATCTGTGCTGGGAATTGGAAGGTAAACTTTCCCGAATCTGAATGTGCTGGGAACATTGTAGGCATTTGGTAAAGTTCGGGGTTGGGGTTGATTTAGGCATAAATGTGACCTGACCTAGTAGACACATGTGGCCAAGTGGATGTTTGTCCAGCAAGGAAGATTTGGCACAGATTTGGACAAACACATCTGTTCTTTCTCCCTGAGCCAAGTGCAAGTTGTGTTGGGTGCAGGGGTCACAGGATTGACCTCAGGCCCTGTCCTTGAGAATATCAAGGTCAGAGGATGGACACACTGGAACATGAGGATGGGTATCAGTGATGGGTTATGATATATCCAGGGGGCAGCCTAGAGAACCAGTTCTTCTGAGATGGAATTAAGGGAGGAAACAAACTAGAAGGTGTCACTGAGGAAGCAGCATTTGAACTGGGCTTTGAAGGCTGAGGAGGTAGGAAGAGAAGCAAGGAAGTTAGGAATGGCGTTGCAGGAAGAGGGTTATGCACAGTGAGCAGCCTGGGGCATGTGGAACTGGAGGACCAAAAAGTGGGACATGAGGCTGGAGATCAAGGTCAGGGCCAGACATGAACTTGGACAACTCGCCTGCTGAATCTGAGGGCTTTTCAGCAGGGATGAGGCATACTTTGAGTCTCTGTAAGCAGCTGCTAACTTACTTGAATTTCATAAAAAGACACTGGAGCCAGAGCCAGGCAAGCAGCAGCATTATCAGCATATTGGGGAAGGCAAATCCAAACCAAGAGGCGAAGTTCACGATGTCTTTACTGCCAGGAAACAATCTGCAAAGAGAAATACTGGTTCAGAAGCTGAGCTGTGGAGAACTGAGGCCGTCCAACCAGCTATCAGCTCCTGTGCCAGCTGCCCTTCCCACCTCTGTCCAAGGGCTCTTCTCCGAACAGAACAGGTGCCATCTGATTTTTGTTCCCTTTGTGCAGAGTACAATGTGTACATATCTCAATGAATGCTTTTATACACCTAACTGGAACTTTCTAGCATCTGCCACCCTCAAGAGATTGAAAGTTCCACATGGACAGTGTCCTGATTCCCCTCACTTTTGTGAACCTAGCTTCGCTTGGCCTGAGGCCGAGTTGGGGTCCTCATGGGCTGTGTCCTTTTTTGGCCAAGACTGGAAGTTCCAACGTATTTTTATGGTCCACCTGGGGCTTCACAAGGTCTCATGTCCTTGAGAGTCATACCATCCGAGGTCACTTAGCTCCCAGCCTTCATCTCATCCACAGACCCCTACAATCACAGGACCCTCACCATCAACAACCCAAGTTTGTCCTACTGTGGGAGCTTGTGTGTTGCTATAATGTTGGATGCTATGCCACTGGTATTTCAAAGATCAGTGGACTCACCCAGTGGTTCAAAGGAGCTTGCAGATTAAGACAGACTGGGACAAAAGGAGCTGCTTCTGAAAATTGACCAATGTGAATCATGAATCACAAGGAAATGTTGTCCGGTGAGGTCCTGCTGGAAGATGAGCCCACTGGATTGGAAGGCACAATGGCACAACAAGGGGCTCAAACACATCATTGGTCATGAAGATGGTGCAGGACTGGGGCCAACTCAGTGGCAACTAACAACAGGAACCATTTTCTACCAGTTTGAGACAAGGGTCAGTCATTTGGGAATAAGGTATCATAGCTATTACTTTAGCTCTGAGGTCAATCCATAGTCCCTCTCTTATTGAGAATGCTAAATCCAGGGAAGAAAGATAGGATTCACCCAGGACAGATGGCAAGCTTGGTCTTAATTCACTCCACCCCTGGACGTTGACTCCGTTAGGTCTGTGGACTGTCATCAGACCCCACCCCTCTGAGGACTTCTGAGTGGGTGCAGGGGTGCTGGAACTGGAGGTTGGATGGGACACATCTTCCCACCCTTGTCGGGCTCCCCAGGGTCCAGCTGTAGGGGTGAGAGAGATGAGTAGGTCCCCCAGCCCTAGGGTTCACTTTAGATGGTATGGCCAGTGACTTACTCATGCATCTGGCCCTGGAGTACCACATTAGGTCCTGTCCCGGTCAGGGTGGCCGTGCCGCCAATGCTGGCTGCATAGCATACGCATAGTGTCATGGCCTTGCACATGCTCTTCCTGTCTTTGTCCTCTTCCTGCCCCATGACCGGGCTTTCGAAAATCACTTGGTTCCCTGTGGCAGACACAGGGGCTGTTAGATGAGGTATATAGGCCTGAGCTGGTCCCGAGGGCAACCCGCCCACTCCAGCACCCACTCTGCCTCTCTAGACTCACTTGCTTTTCTCAACCTTCAGCCCAAACATTCAGCCCAAACAGAGAGCGAAGGGAGTTGAACTGTTTCAGGTCAGAGAGAGCTTCCCTGAGGATGAGTAAGAGTAACAAGATCTGGAAGGCACCCAATAAGACTCAAAAATGTCTGATGATGAATGAATAGTGAGGTAGGGCTGACTCATTGATTTCTGTGGTTGGCGGGAACTGAGGACGTGACTTTGCTACAAACTCTACTAAAGGAAATAACATCACAGCTAGTATCTAACTTTTTATATACATTCCTAAATTTATGGAGATCTTATTTTCTCAACAGAGCCCTATTGAAAGGAGGGCTCTGCGCAGCTGGGGGAGAGTGGTAGGAGGTGGCCAAAGTTTTTGGCAGCCTGGGGTAGGTTGCCATTGTGGGCTCTCAACCCGATCCGGAGGCAAATCCCTGGTCAGGGCCTCACCTGGCAACTCGTTGTTCTTGCCCTTGTCCCTCAGCTCCAGTGCAGTGGCTGACCTGGTGGATTCCATCTGCTGCAGCATGGCCTCCACGATGGGCACCATCATGGCTGTGGTGGCCGTGTTGCTGATCCACATGGACAGGAAGGCTGTGGCGCCCATGAAGCCCAGCATCAGCCTGCAGAAGCAGAGCAGGAAGGAAAGAAAGCCCACGCGTCTTCCCCAACTGCTCCCATCCCTGCCCCTGCGTAGCAACTGGGGGTTAAGTCAACACTGCAGAAATTCGAGGGGCCAGTGCAGACCAAGGTGCTAGTATTCACCATGGCTGATTACAACTTGGGTGCCTCTTCTCCCTCCCTTCCTCCTTTTTTCTTTCTTCCCTCACTTCCTTCTTAACTTTCTTCCTTTCCTCCTTCCTGCATTGTTTATATCTACTGTTTGTCAATGTTCAACCATTTCAAGAGGTAGTTAGTATACGATCAAGAGCCAATCATACTAAAGGAAGACGTCCAGGCTACACTGAAGGCATTGGCCCAACCTAGACAAGCCTCCAGGAATTGATGGAATACAAATTGAAATATTTCAACAAACTGATGAAACACTGGAGGTACTCACTCATCTACGCCAAGAAATTTGGAAGACAGCTACCTGGCAAAGCCATTGGAATAGAACCATATTTGTGCCAATTCCATTGAGCTAGGGAATATGTAAATCATCAGACAATACCCTTAATACCACAAGCAAGTAAAATTTTGCTGAAGATCATTTTTAATGGCTGCAACAGTACATTGACAGGGAACTGCCAGAAATTCAAGCCAGATTCAGGAGAGGACGTGGAACTAGAGATATCATTGTTGACATCAGATGGATCTTGGCTGAAAGCTGAGAATACCAGAAAGATGTTGAATTGTGCTTTATTGACTATGCAAAGACTTTCTACTGCATGAATCACAACAAGCTATACATAACATTGCGAAGAGTTGATATTCCAGAACATTTCATTGTGCTCATGAGGACTGCTACAAAGACCAACGAGCAGTCATTCGAATAGAACAAGAGGATACTGAATCGTTTATAATCAGGAAAGGTGTGTGCCAGGATTGTATTCTTTCATCGTATTTATTGTTCAACCTGCATGCTGAGAAAATAATCCAAGAAGCTGGATTATATGAAGAACATGGCGTCAGGATTGGAGGAAGATGCATTAACAGGCTGCAATATGTAGATGATACAATCTTGCTTAGAGTCCTGGTATGGCGCTGTAGGATAAGCCCTGTACTGCTAACTACAAGTTCAGTAGTTCAAGCCCATCAGCCAATCCTCAGAAATCCTACACAAGGTCCTTGTGAGTTGGAATCAACTTGATAGCACTTAACAACAACAATTATGCCTGCTGAAGACCAAGACAATTTAAAATACTTACTGATGAAGATCAAAGACTACAGCCTTCAGTATGCATTACACCTCAATGTAAAGAAAACAAAATTCCTCACAATTCAACCAACAAATAACATCATGATAGATGGAGAAAAGATTAAAACTGTTAAAGATTTCATTTTGCTTGGATCCATAATCAACTCTCATGGAAGCAGTAGTCAAGAAATCAAACATTGTATTGCATTAGGCAAATCTGATGCACAAGACCTTTTTAGTGTCCTCAAACAGAACAAAGATGTCAGTTTGAGGATTAAGGTGCGCCTGATTCAAGCCATGGTATTTTCAATAGCCTTATATGCATGTGAAAATTCAACAATGAATAAGGAAGACCAGAGAAGAATTGATGTATTTGAGTTATGGTGTTATAGAAAAATAGTGATGTTATATGAACTGCTGGAAAAACAAAGCTGTGTTGGAAGAAGTACAGCCATACTGCTCCTTAGATGTCAAGATGGCAAGACTTTGTCTCTCATGAAGGACATCATGCATGGTTAAGTGGTCATGGTAGTGTGCTGTAGAGTCAGTTTTGATTTATACTGACTCTGTATAAGGTTTCTGAGGCTATAAATCTTTATAGGAGCAGTGTTGTGGACCGTGTAAGACTGGTCAGAGGTTCGAGGCCCTATAGGCCCGAGTGTAACAAATGAGGCCACTGGCAGTTAATGACAAATTGCTTTCATCTTAATATTCAGTTATATATATATTAAATTAATACACGGAGCCTTTGAAAATCCACAGATAAATGTGATACTTTCCTAAAGCCAAGACTAAAGGTTGCAAGGTTAAACCTTTCTCCAACGGATTAACTAAAAATATTTTAGCTGCTTCTAGGTTCTTTGTTCTATAGACAAAGAACCCATCCTCCCTAATCCCTTTTCCAGGTGCAGCCCATTCACCTGGGCGTCTCCTGCAGAACTCTCACCTTCCCCCAACTGACCTCAGGGGCTATAGATATGTTAATTGGGCCTGAGAATCCAAGTTGCTGGCCTGGGATTCGAACCAGCGAAGTATGATGTAAAGTTACCTGAATGTCTGGAAAAGTACTGATGTTAGCTGTACCTTGCCTAAGTCCCTCCCAGCTTGGTGTGAAACTCCTCCCCTAAATAAAGCAGAGGCCCGGGCCTCCCCAGGTGTGCATTACTGGTTGGAAGGCATGGAGTAAAGATAGCAGTGCATTACGGGTTGGAAGGCATGTAGTAAAGATTGCAGGGCAGTGAGTCGCTGCCTGCAGAGGCCATGATGCCTGTAGTCCCAAGCCTGCCCACCAGTGATGTATCCACCCTGGCTTTGGGGTGCCTCATTGTCTCCCTTCTTCTGTTTGTCTGTGTATTCTTTCGCTATCCCTATCGCCGCTGGATCTCCCCTCCTCGTGAACCAAACACTCGTGAACAACACAACTATGTCGAGGGCAAACCCTGACAGAGCAGAAAGCCTCATCTTTTTCCTGCAGGATGGTTGCTAGTTTCGAACTGCTGACCTGAGGTTAGCAGCCCAACTTAGAACCACTGCACTACCAGAGCTCCTTGGGTAAAGTGGAGGGTGGATGAAAAGAGTCAGTGTCCCTAAGGAGATGTGTTGACAGTGGCAGCAGCAATGGGCTCAACGTAACAATAATTGTGAGGATGGCGAAGGACTGGGCAGTGTTTCTTTCTGTTGTGCACAGGGTCACATATGAGTCAGAACCAATGAATAGGCAGCATCCAGATGGTGCAATCCAATGTAGAGAGTTTGCCCTAGTATGGCCAGGACATTTGGGGGTCACAATGAAACAGTGTAACCTTGCAGGTAGGTAGTACTGGCTCTCCACTTCTGTCTGGGAGGTCCTCACCCATTGCAGACCCTGACTCTTCTCTCCCTAAGTTGAGAAGAGCTATGCAAAGTCAACCTTCAGGGTAGGATGAGCTATGGAGGGAGCATGGGGAAGTGTGACCTCCCTCCTGCTGACGCCACCACCACTGCCTCACAATCACACTTCACTCTGCAATGGACCAGCTCAAACAAGCAGGATTCAGAAAACAGCTTCCCTTTGCTCACACTTTATCTCGCGCCAATTCCCACTTCAGCCATCTGCCTAGAAACGTCCTCATGTCTCTTCAAAACCTGAGCTGACAAGGCCCTTCTCTGTGGCCTCCCTCCCAGTGCATGCTAGTTCACGGTTCTCCATTCTGAGACCTACCCTCCTCGTTTTTGTTACTCTGTGGGAGTCTGAGCAGCTGTTTCCACATCTGCACTCTCCTTAGAGTGTGACCACCTTAAGCACAGAGGCAGGGTCTGATTCTCCTCAATGGCGCCTCCATACCTGGTATAAGGCCGGGAACAGAGGGAGCTTGGAGAAGGTTGGCTGTCTGGAACTCAACTGCTCTCTGCCTCTGTGACCCTGTGCTGCCATGCTCCTCATAAGAGTCACTCATTTGTTTGGGAGTGAAAGCTTGAAGGAGGGATCTGGAAAGCCTGGGTTTCTGGACTTATAAGAGCAGAGCCGAGCAGAGGGTGAGTGAGAGGGAATTTACAGGATCTAGCTGTCCTAGAAGGTATATTACGCTTCAAGGCACCAAGGGGCCTCAAAATAAAGTTTGCTTTCCAGGTCAGTCAGTGTCATGGGCAGTGAGAGGTCTCTGAAGAGGAGCCACAAGACAGGCAAGAGCAGAAAAGCCTGTGCTAAATTCTTGGATTTGGAAGCCAGAGCTTTCAAGCACACTGTGTCCAGAATAAGCCCGCTATAGAGACCTCCTTCCCATCCTCTGGTGGAGGAAATTGGGCCACTGAAATTTCACATTTCTAGAACGTGTTATGACTCTTGATTTGTCCATAAAGATTAGAGGAAATCAATGCCTCCTGAAACTGCCTAAATCTGTGGGTTCTCCCTGGTATGGAGGGAGACCAGAGAGCCACAAAGACCTCTTCTTGGGGAAATCTGAGGCACCAACGGAGCCCTGGGTCTTGGGGGGCAGACCCAGGATCTGTATCTGTTCAGGGTCTGCATGGTCCCTAACATGAGGCTATCTCAGAGGTGTGTGTTGTTGTTAGGTGCCATCAAGTTGATTCAAACTCATGGCAACCCCTGAGACACAGTAGAGCTTCCCAATGGACTTTCTTGGCTGTAACCTTTAGGGAGCGGGAGTAAGATGAGGCCTTCTTCTCCCATAGAGATTTACAGCCTTGGAAACCCTATACAGGGTCGCTATGAGTCAGTACTGACTTGATGGCACACAGCAGCAATCTTCAGGACGCAGACCACCAGGTCTTTCTTAGGGGTCTCTACTGTGAACTAACCAGCAGAGTCCTGGTGTGGCACAAGGTTGACAGTTCAAACTCACCAGCCAGTCCTCAGAAATCCTATATAGGGTCACTATGAGTCGGAACCAACTCAACGGTACTTAACGACAACATCAAAACCATCAGATAGTGGGGAGTGATGGCCCAATGATAGAGTCTCCCTTTCTATGTGGGAGACCCAGGCTCGAGTCCTGGCCAGTACACCTTATGTGCAACCTTACTCAGCTAACAGGGAGCCTACAGCTGCCAATCAAGGACTGGGCGGGGGTCCACCATCATTCAGGCAACATCTTGTGTCAGAGAAAGATTGATCCTGAATTCCTCGAGGGGGCATGTCTAGGAACATGTGCTGGTCAGACTGTGTCCAATCCCCCATCTGACTGTCAGCAAATCACTTAACCTCTCTCTCTGTGTCAAATCTGTCATCTGTAAAATTTGGATAGTAGTGTTGGGAATAATACACAGCTCTCAGAGTTGTTGAGAATTGCTGAGAATTGAATGAAGTCATATATAAAGCCCCCAAGTTCATGTCTGAGGAGCACTGTTGTTGTTAGGTGCATCATAGCAACCTCATATACAACCGAACGAAACACTGCCCAGTCCTGGGCCAACCTCACAATCATTGCTACACCTGAGCCCATCGCTGCCACCACTGTGCCAATCCATTTCATTGGGGGTCTTCCTCTTTTTCTCTGACCATTTACTTTACCAAACCTGATGTTCTTCTCCAGGGACTGGTCCCTCCTGAGAATATGTCCGAAGTATGAAACATGAAGTAGACACACAATATAACCTTCATATTATGATTATACTGATTCCGTTGGTTGATTGGAAATGACCCATGTGCTTTTTGGTGGAGGAAGGCAGTGGACACAAAGCTATGAGCAATGAGGGGAAAAGGACAAAGTTTCTTTTCAGGAGAAATGGATATCTCAGCTTTGGAAGACAACCTTTCTGCTTCCCTTGAGATGAGCCACCTCTTGCCTGCCTTCCCCATAGTTTCCCTCCAAGCACCCCTCTACCACCTACTGTTCACCCTATGGAGCCTGGAAGCCTCCTCAAGGATCTTTCCTAACATGCAGGAGCCTTCACTGACCTACCCCCACATCCACTCACTGTTGTTCACCATGTGCCAGCTACCACTGCTCATGCATCTGGTTTCCCCAGCTAAGACTGGCACATGGCCCACTTAGGGAGAGGCCAGGTAAGCCCATGGTCAGCCTGTGGGTGCCCTGCTCCATCACGTCCCCATCCCCAGGCCTGGGGTCCATGCAGAGTCAATGTGACAAGAGAGAGAAGGCATAATTACTGTGCGGGCTTGGCCCCCACCCAGAGGAGCGTGCGCAGGGCGATCCTCTTATGCAGATTCCAGCGCTCCACAGCGACTGCCACAATAAGGCCACCCAGGAACAGCATGTTGGTGTCCTTCATGTACTGGACACACACCTAGAGAGATACACACTGCTTGGAAGAGGGCCACTCAAATCCCAAGAGACAGGCAAGTGGTCTAGACGCTGCCCTCAAGGACGGCTCAGAGCAGGGCTGAAGGCTTGGGGGGCATGTCTCCATGCCAGGAGAACTCACAGAGGAGGCTTCTCTCGCCACGCCTGGGTCCAGGCAGTGTGGAAAAAGCCAATGGGAGAACCAGGAAGCTGCCAGAACCCTGGGGGGACTGCTCACCTGCTTGGAGTCCAGAATCTTGAAGAGTGGGAAAAGCAAGGCAGGTATGAGGGAGGTGACGGCCAAAGGGATGACTTCTGTGCACCAGTATATAGCCATGAGGATGATGACGTAGGCACACCTGACAAACTGAAGAGACAGCCCTGAGGCCTCAGCATACCAGCAGCGGGGGGTTCCTCACAGGGAGCCCCCTCAGGACCACCTGCGTCCCACCCCTGGTCAGCACAGCTTTTCACATACAGGACAGTGAGAAGGGCACAGGATGTGTTGTCCCTGCTTCCCAGCCTAGACAAGTCCTTTCATCTCTTCAATCTTTGGATTCCTCACTCTCACTGTTGCAAAATGAAATCATAAAAGGAAAATGAGGAGGAAGAAGAGAGGCAAAGGCGGTAGAAGATGAGCAAGAGGTGGGATAGAGGAAGAAGGAAAAAGGAAGAGAAAGGAGGGGAAGAAGAGAAGAGGAAACAGAGGAGGAAGAAAAACTCAACAAAGGCATCTTGTAAAGTAAATGCACTTCTCCTGCCCTTTGCAAATGAAACACCACTTTCTCCATGTGCTCCTTCAATTCTATTTCCTTTCCTCAACATTCTGTCATAAGCATTTTTCATATGAAATTTAAAAGATAGTGGAATTTCCCCATAAACTTCTTGAAGTCCCCTCATCTGATCATTTTTAAAGCTACAAATATTCCATAAATTTGACGAATCACCCCCTTTGCCCTCTTGCAGTTGAGTAAATGTTGTCTCTTCTTTTCTGTCACTAAATGATGCTGTGATCACTTATTTGGTTCTGCTATTTTAAAAGCAGAAGCGGATTCTTGAATTCCCAATGCCTATTGCAAGTGGCTTCAACTTTTCCCTCAGAAATGAACATGCCAACCAGCTCATCCAGAACTTTGCCAGCATTAAGTGTTTTCTGTTTTGTTTTGTTTTTTAAATTACTGTCATTAGAATTTAGAAGATGGCACCTAGTACATTCATTGTTGTTATTATTAACTGCCATCGAGTCAATTCCAACTCATGGCGACCCTGTGTAGGGTTTCCAACGAGCAGCTGGTAGGCTTGAACTGCCCATTGATCTTGTGGTTGGTGTACAGTTTATCCTACAGTGCCACATTGCTGTTAAGCACCATCGAGTCAGTTCCAATTCGTAGTGATCCTGTATAGGGTTTCCAAGGAGCGACTGGTGAGTTTGAACCGCCAACCTTGTGGTCCAGTGCCTTATCCAGCAGCACCACAGTGCCACATTAACATCTTTCTAATCACAAGACTCTCAAACTTTACTATTTGTATTTAACTGTGTGTGAGCTATCTATTTACATCCATCAATCAGCCACTCAGAACTGGGGTCTTGGCAGAATAAAGTAGAAATGAGAGAGAGAGAGAGAGACCTGGGTTCAGATTCAAGTATTTGCTGCTCTGATCCCTCCTTATGGTAGGGCTTTGGGTAAGTAATGTAATCTCTTGGGGTCTCAGGCTTGTCACCTACTAAAATGTGGATAATAATAGCTAATTCTCTAGGTTGTTTTGTTTTGTCAATATTTTTATTACAATCATGAATAACCCAAACTTTGCCCTCTCCTACACTACAGCCATCTCCAATTAAACCAGCCACCAAAACGGAAAGATTCTAGTCCTAAATCTCTGGTGTTTCCCCACACTCCTTCACCCCCATGGCGCTTACCTTGGTTCTGATCACACTATCTTCTGCCAGGACCCCTGCATCTTTCTCCTAATCTGATCTCCTTATAGACATCAATCCACACTCTTCCTCCCTTTTTGCAAGTCTGATCACATCACCCCTGGTTTTAAAGTCTCCCATTGCCTTCAGAATAAAACCCAGGGACCTTAGCATGACAGATGAGTCCCCCAGTGTTGTACCAGGCCCTGAAATCTCTTCCAGCCCCATCTCCTTTTCCACTTATACCCTAAGGTTCAGCTACCCCCAAAACGCCTGCAGTAATTGACGCATGATGCTCTCCCTCTCACACTCTCCTCTCAAACACACACCATTCCCTTGCCCTGCAATGATTGTTCAGTTTAGCCTTCCTTCTTGGGCACCTTCCTTGACCCCCTACACAATGTGGGTTTGTGCCCTTCTTCTTCTGAGCATCCTTGCTAGGACTTAGCACACTGTATTGTAATTGTTTCCTTAACTGTCTTCCCACTAAGCAATAAGCACCTTGAGGGCAAAAACAGTGTTTTTAGATTCATTCAAGCACAGGGGATATGCTCAGCACATGTTTATGAAAGGATGGGTGGGTCAAATAGCCTTTACCTCAGCAAACCAGTGACAACGCTGCTGATACAACATACTGTATACTATCAATATTTATCGTCACCCTAAAAGACACAGGAGTCCTGGTGTGGTTCTGTGAGTTAATGTGCTGGACTGCAAAGTTGATTTGAACCACAAGGTCAGTGGTTCAAGCTCATCAGCTGCTCCTCAGAAATCCTATACAGGGTCACTATGGGTTAGAACAGACTCAAGGGCACTTAACAACAACAACAAAAGGACATAAAGCATTGTAGGAAAATGAGAAAGTCTTTTGGATCATGTGATAGGTCGTAAAAATTAAGTCTTTCCTTGGCATCTCATGAGCATCCCAGGACACCTTCCTACTGTCTAATGCAGGAATTTCTGAATCTTGGCATTAACACTTTGTTCCAGATGACTCTTTGTTGTGGGGACTGTCCTATGCATTGTAAGATGTTTAGTAGCTTCTCTGGCCTCTACCTACTAGAGGCTAGTAGCATTCTTGGAGCTATAACAACAAAAAATGTCTCTAGAGGAAATCTGCCAGTGATTGTACAGTGGCGTGGTTGGAAGCCCAGGTTATTAGACAGCTAAGGTTCACTGTCTTCAAAGCTCAGTAACTTCTCTGGGTCTTACCTGGGTCTTGGTATCAGTTGTATAATGGGGGCAGGGGAAGGGGGAAAGATGGGAGTGATCTTCTCCAGGGACAGGCACTAAGAAAGTACATTGTGGAGAATTTAAAAACAAGAAAACAGCCTGAAAATCCTGCACTGGCAGTTCTAAACAACGTCAGTGGTTACAATTCTCCTCCCACTTGGGACATACAATGCCCAACCCCGATCCCTCCCCACTTGTTCCATGTTCTCTTCTGTAAATTGAGGATTCAGAGGACCCACCAACTGCCTGTCAGTCTGTCATAATGTGGTGGCTTGCATGCTACTGTGATGCTGGAAGCTATGCCACCAGTATTTCACCCATGGTGGATAGGTGTCAGGGGAATTTCCTAACTAAGATAAAGTAGGAAGAAAGGCCTGGTGATCGATTTTTGAAGATTAACTTGTGAAGATCCTATAAATCACAGCATAATATTATCCGGTTACCAACTATCTTGAAGATGGTGTAGGACCCCGTGATGTTTCATACCGTTCTACAGAAGGTCTCCTTGAGTCAGCAAGGCTTCACAGCAGCTAACACCACCTCTGTCACACAGAAAGAGCTCAGCAATTTCTAGGAGGAGCACTGGACTGCTAAACACAAGGTTGGCAGGTCAAACCCACCAGCTGCTCCACAGGAGAAAGAGAAGGCTATCTGTTCTCATGGAAGATTTACAGCCTTTGGAAACCCTATACAGGGTCACTGTGAGTCAGAACCAACTCATTTAAGTGGGTTTGGGGTAAGCGTAGAAGCACTCAGTAGAGTTACTTTAAAGATAGCAGCTGTGATGTGTTTTCACTGCACAATGTCTGGAGTTGACAAATACGACCATTAGAAAAGACAAGGAGACACATGCTAACTCCGCCTCTCTTATCTCCATAGCACTGTTAGGAAGCCCAGGTGGTGACCTGCCCCTGAAAACTATGTCCGTAAACTTGACCCTCCTTAGCCTAGAAATGCGACTTCAACAAAGGGCTCAAACATAGCAGCAATTGTGAGGATGGCGCAAGACTGGGCAACATTTCCTTCTGTTGTACGTAGGGTCACTATGAATCAGAACCAACTCAATGACACTTAACAACTACAGCAGTCTGGTAACGCCCCCACAGTGATGGTGGAGAGAGCAGAATAGGAAGGGGAAATTTAGAGAAGCCTGAGGTCCTGGCGGAAGGTGATGGTAATCATGGAGAATGTGGTAGATTCTATCTGCCAGAGGTTCCTAGTTCCTTGTGAGTAAATTCAGTGTACTTCCCTGCTGCAGAGAATGTGGAGAGAAAAGGGAAGAAAGCTGAAACAAAAGTGAATAGACAGAAGTGCATGGCGGGATTCAGTTCAGCACTGAGCACAGTGCTGAGCTCACAACTAATTGTTGTAGGGTCAGTTCTGATTCTTGGCAACCCCATGTATGTCAGAGTAGAACTGCTTTCCATTGAGTTTTCAATAACTTGTTTTTCTGAAGTAGATTCCCAGGCCTTTTTTCCAAGTCACCACTGGGAGAACTCTATTTAATGCCTACACGAATACATAAATCTATGGTTTATTATTTACCTTTTTATTGATGTGTAAGGGTGTCTATGACATATTACTTAATGATTAATACAGATAAGAGAGTATGTTGTATGTATGTGTGTATGTGTAGAGAAAGAGAGACAAGATCAATTGTTTTCTGGAAAGATATCCATTATTAAAATGATGGGATTTGAGGGTATTTTCTTTTTCACTTTGTGTTATACAGAATTGTTACCATTTTTTGAATATTTAAAAAAAAATAAATGATATAATGAATATATCATTTATTGTATTTAAAAAAACTATTTAAAAGAGAGAGACCCAGAGGAAGGATGGAAAAAGTGGAGCCAAGATGAGGCCAGGAGGGAAGCAAGGTGGTGGAGAAGAACAAGAGGCAGTCACCTGGAGCTGAGAGGCTGTAGTTGGGAAAGGACAGCGTGCCCCAGGACTTGCCTCCCCAACCTGACAGTGTTGTCCTGGGGCCAAGGTTCCAGCTGTCTTTCCAGCTGCTCTGCCCCCTTGCCATGTGCCTCCGGGTTTCCTTGCACACCCATCTGGTCATGGAGGGTGGGGGCAGGGAGCTCTTCAGTGGTGACCAAAACAGAGGCACAAAAGGAGAAAACAAGAAGGCACAAGTCTGAATCCCCAAAGGGAAAGAATGTCCAGGCAGCCTTAGAACCAAATTCACTGGTGTCACCTCTTCCTGTTCCTGATCCTCACTCTGAGGGCAGCTTAATCACACACGTGCATGCTCACACACACAAATGAAGGTTTGGCACACCTGTATGTGTGTCAGGGTGGGAGAAAAGTCTCAGTCACTTTCTCTTGGGCAGGAAGGTCAACCAAGCTACTATAATTATTCCAGAAACCACACGTCCCCACCAGCAAAACTAAAATCACAGATCTCCTGCCTGGCTCCCTCTCAGCACAATCACAGTTCAGAGTCTTTTTCTAAAGAGGAAATAAGGCTATTCACAGTTGATGTGGCCACTGAAGAAGGACCACAATAAGATCTGCTGTCTTTGGCCCATCAGAGTCTGTGCTCAGCCAAGGTCTTCTACCTGCCCCCCTCATAGCTCACCCCAGGAACCAGCAAGATCCCTTTTGGCACCCTGAGCCTTAAAGTGTAAGAATGGAACAACCTTTATACAGATGAGGACACCAACGGGGTCGACTAAAGTCACAAGACCTGAGTGAATGGTGGAAGTCCAATGCTCTAACAGGTTGCCTTTTCCTTCTCCAGGAATGCCCCCTAGCATCCCCTGAAGAGCTCCTATGTTTCCCAAACCTGCCTGGGACAGGGAGGGGGTGGGAGCTGGAGGTTTCCTGTCTAGGCAGAGAGTGAAAGGGCTGAAAGAGGGAAGAGGAGGAAGGAGCAACCAGCGAACCACAAAAGGCTTCAAAAGGCTCGGGTCTCTGCCAAACAGGCTGCACACAACCCAGAGCAGCCGGGGGCCAGGGCGCCGGCCCCGCCCCCACGCCTCGGCCAAGTCCATTCATTCTGTCCTTCCCTCCCCTGAGCGCTAGGAGGCCAGGGCAAAGACGCCACTTCTCTACAACCCTGGGTCCTGCCACCCAAGGCGAGGGCTCTGGGAACGTCTCCGCCTCCTGCCACAGCCACAGCGGGCAGCGAGAAAAGCAGGCCAACCCGATCTGCCCTTCAGCCAGGAGCAGAAATTTCGACTCAGCTTTGGCTTCCTGGGTTTCAGAGCTGGAAACGGACTGTGTTCATGGATGGGGAAATTGAGGCCCAAAGGAGCGCCAGAGTGTCAAAGTTAACACACAGGATCCACTTAGGTGTGGATCTTTTCCCGTGGGTCCTTGACCTCGGAAGCCACATAGAGCTGGGAAGTGTCCACTCATTAAGGGAAGAGACGAGAGAAAGAGACAGAGACAGACAAGCGCCTAGGCTCTCTGTGGCATTTTCCTGTGGAAACGCTGCTATGCGCTCTAGAGGACTCTATGTTGGGAGGTGCTGAAGCCCAGTCTATGTGACCAAAATCTGTGCGCACTTCAAAGTTTTTGTGCTGGCCAGGATGCTTCTTGGTCTGTGTGCCGGAGAGTCTCCGTGCCCTTTGGGAGTCTTTGCAGGGCGCCTTGGATCCTGCATCTCGAGCTCCAGAGTGCGCGCGCCCCAGGGGAGCTGTGCCCTCCCAAGAATTGGTGCGCTCCAGCTCAACGCGCCTGCGTTCGGTGCCCGCTATTAGGTACCGGGCACCCGGGATCCGCCGGGCTGCCGGGAAACACAACTGACCTTGGCGGGTATCAGAATGATGAGTGGCAGCAGCAATATCGGGGTGGCGAACAAAATCACGAAGGACTTGAACTTGGAGACATAGCTCAGCACCGAGGCCATCGCGCGGGAGCAAGACTGGCGCGAGAGGCCAGTGAGCGGCAGTTGGAAGCTCTGCGGGTTTAAGAAGGGGACAGCACTCTCCAGGGATGGGAGGGCGGTAACAACTCCGCCCCTCACCACAGACCTGCCCCCCAGCCCGGGGGCGGGGCCACCCCGCAGGGTCGGTCTGGAGCGCCTGCCACTAATTCTGCCACCCCGTGGTACCCTGAGGCGCCAACGGACTCTAATGCTTCCCACAGCTTTCTAGGGAGGACTTGGGCCCCTGGCACCTCACCACCCTCCAAGACCTCCCAGCTTTGCCCTGGGTAGCCGTGCGCCTGGTGTGAGCTGTCGTTCATTTGGCCAGCGTTGGCATTCAGCCGGCTTATCGCCCCGCACCTGCCCTTTCCTAGGCTGGGAATGAGTTTCTGGTGGCGCCGACAGTTAAGCATTATTGCTACTAAACGGAACTTGACTTTGGGAACCCACCCAGAGGTTCCTGGGAAGGAAGACCTAAAGATTTACTTCTGGAAGTTCACAGCCCTAAAAACTCTATGGAAATCGGTTCTAATCTGCAACACATGGGGTCACCACTTGGAGTTAAAATGAACTAGATAGTACTGCTTTGATTTGTGTGTGTTGTTTTGTTTTTAGGGATCCCAAGTGAGTCTGTACCTACCTCTGGGTCTCCGGAATGGTTTATGCCAGCCTCTCCCTACCACCGCTACGCGGAGGGGGTCTCTCCCAGAGGTGGTGACCGCGCCCCGAGCCCTCTTTGCGATGGGCCTCCCCTTCCCCGCGTCTCTCTGACTTCCCCGCGGCGCCCACACTGCTCAGCACACAGGACCCTCGCCCCCCGCGCCCTTCCCACCTAGCTCTCAGGGTTCTCGCTCTCCCGCGGTCGCTCAGAGAGGTGAGGCCGCTGTGCTCCGTAGTCTGGGTGACATTTGCCGTTCAGCGGACACTCCTCGGAGGCCCCGCATGGCAGTGCTTGCCGCCCAGCTGGCCAGGCTGCTAGTGCCAGTTTACATAGGAAAGCGGGGTTTAGAGAGAACTTTGTTGTGATTAAGTGTCTTCAAGTCAGATTCGAGTCATAGCGAATCATAGGGTTTCCAAGGACTCTTTTTGAGAGGAAGAAATTTAACCAGGTCTACACTGAGAGCCCTGGTGTAGCCCTGTAGGATAAGCACCGGCATGCTTAACCACACGGTCGACAGTTCAATCCCACCAGCCGTTCTCGGAAACTCTATACAGGGTCACTGTGTGTCAGAACCAACTCGACGGCACTTGATTGTCTCATTCTGCAACTTTGCTTTGGGGAGTCTTACCCATGTCCTGGTGTGGCGCTGTGGGTTAATGCACCAGACTGCAAAGCCGTTTGTACTGTACGGTTGGCGGTTCAAGCTCACCAGCTGCTCCTCGGAGACCCTACCCAGGGTTGCTATGGGTCGGAACTGACTCGATGGCACTTAACAACCCATGATTGTGGACGGTGTAAACTGCTAGCATGCTTGGCTGCTAAGCCGAAAGTTGGAGGGTTGACACCACCTGGAGGTGCCTTAGAAGACAAGCCTGGCAATATGCATGTTGGAAATCAGCTGCTGAAAACCCTCAGGAGCTCAGTTTTCCTCTGACAACACATGCCGTTTCCATAAGTCAGAGCTGACTCCCTGGCAAATGGTTTTTATCCATGCTTGTGGTTTCACCACAGCCTATTCTGAAAGTTTTCTCTGGATGTATGAGTGAGCAAACCATTTCCATACAATAGAATAACTGCTTTAAAGGGGACATAACCAAGGAGCTCTTGTAGCGTGTTGTTGTTGTTGTTAAGTGCCACCAAGTCGGTTCTGACCCATATGCGAACCTTAACGTCAGCGGTTCGAAACTACCAGCCGCTCCGCGGGAGAAAGATGAGGCTTTCTGCTCCCGTAAAGATTTACACCCTCGGAAACCCTGTACAGGGTCGCTATGGGTCGGAACCAACTCCACAGCACACAACAACAACCTAGCAGTCAGAACGTGGTGTCTGGAGTCAGACTGCCTGGCTTCATAACCTAACTCTCCAAGCTTCTGATTGATGTCTTAGATAAGGTACTCTCTCTAAGCGCATTTATTCATAAATAGAGATGATGACAATGGCTTTAAAGAAAGTTGAATTTTACCTGAACCTTGTGATACTGGAAAACAAAAAAGCCAATATCCCCACCTTTGTGTTCAAGACAATGGTTTCCTGAAAAGAACTAGTATTCCTATGAGACTTAGGTAAGACTCACAGAGGCCCTTTGTTTATTTATGCTACGGACAGACACTCAACCAAAACCCAACAGAATAAAACTGCCACATAGGATTTCCAAGACTAATCTTTACAGAAGCAGACTGTCACATCTTTCACCCACAGGTTGGAACTTCCAATCTTTTGTTTAGCAGTCAAGTGCATAACAACCAAGCCAGCAAAACAGATACAGACTCTCCACATTCCCATCTGTTGGGTCATCAATGAGTAACTGAACTGATTGTCCTCCCTCATCCATCAGAAACAGAGTGCTTGTTAACCAAATTTTGATTAAGCTTCTCTCCTCGTGCTTTCAAGTCCCTGAACTTTGGCCCACCCTCAGCGGGAGTCAGCATGTTGTTGTTACCGTCACCCTCGGGTTGATTCTGACTCGTGGCAACCCCACGTGTGTGGAGTAGAACAGCTCCAAAGGGTTTTTAAGGCTGTGACCTTTTGGAAACAGGTCACCAAGCATGTCTTCTGAGGGTCCTGTGGGTGGGCTCAAAGCGTCAACTTTTCAGCTAGTAATTGAATGAGTGTTTAATGGGAGGAAGAATAAGAGGAAAGGATTGACTATCAGACTTCAAGACTTACAAAGTTATAATGACTAATGTAATCATTAGCTATTGGCATGCGACTAGAAAAGCGGATCAGCAGAACAAAATAGTCTAGAAAGAGACCCATGTTTGTTTATAGGGGAACTTGATACACAAGAAAGGTTGCATTGCAGATTGGTAGGGAAGGGATGCACTAGTCCACATCTAGACTCAGCTTCCAGGCCAATTAGCTTTTAGCTGTATAGACATTTTTTTTCTTTATTAAATGCATTAAATACATAGGGAAAGTTTGACTATATAGCTAATAAATTAATAATAAAGGTATCCCTGCTTTTTAATTCATGCTTCTTAATTATTTCCCAAAGTAGATTATACAGTTCAGTTTATGCATGCAAATATATTTACCACCGGAACATTCCACCTTTTTATTATACTTTCCTCTTGATGACTAATTTATAATCTGAGCTACATAACATATAAATTTGCCAGGGGATTTTAAAAAGTTCATGGAAAAACTATTTTTTAATTCCATTTTACACTAACATTGTGAAGCACCGTCAAGTCAATTCCGATCCATAGCGACCCTGTATAGTAGGGTTTCCAAGGAGCAGCTGGTGAGCTTGAACCGCAGACTTTGCATTTTAAATGGCTTTGCAGTCTGGCGCATTAACCTACAGTGCCACACCAGAACCCTTATATTACATTGCATTACAACAAAGTATGTAATGAAAAGGAGCATGTTAATGATCTTGTATTGACAATTTATAAAATGGATTCATTTTGTCTCAACCACTTGATCTTGATGTGGCTGCTTTTAGTAAATTAGAATATGTTCTACATTTCATTCTAGTGGCTTTTTTATGGTATTTCTTAAAATATGAATGTAAACATTGGAATGTATTTCTTGCACATACAAATTATTCCTCAACTTAAAAACATGCTGATACTGATATACATAAGAATCAAATTATTTGGGGATGTTATGGATTTAATTGTGTCCCCCAAAAACATGTGTTGAAATCCTAATTTCTAGGCCTGGGGCTATACTCCCATTTGGGAATGGTTTGTCTTTGTTATGTTAATGAGACTGGATTAGAGTAGGGTGTGTTTCTGATCAATCTCTTCCTTTTTTAAACTTTTTATTGGGAATTGAGTGAAGGTTTATGGAGTGGATCATCAGTTTTATGTCTAACAAATCACACATTTTATTTCATCTCAGTGATTGCAATCCCCTCCATGTAACAACAGTTATCCCAGTTCCTCCTGGCAGTTTCTATTTCCCTACCATACTCCTTTCCAACCCCTCTGAACCTTGTCCCTAGATAAATGTTGCTCTTTTGATTTTGAATGGTTGGCCATTCCATGGTGAGCATCCCTCACTAGTATTGTTGTCCCCTGTATTCCTGTTCACCACTTGGTTGAAAATTGGGCCACAATGGTAAATTCCATTCCAGACCTAAAGGGAAACAGAGAGCCATAATCTCGAGTTTCTCCAGTCTCTTTTTGACCAGTAAACCCAGTCTATTTTGGAACTTTGAGTTTTGTTCCCCATTGTCTCCCACTTTATCTGGGACCTTCTAATGGGATCCCTTTCAGAGTTCTTCTGGGCTCAGAGTCATGGAGACTGGCGTTCACATGTTCCTTGCTCCATTGGACTCATTGATTCCAAACATCTTCAATTCTCATCACTCTTGTTGCTTCTGCACATGGACAGGCCAATAGCTGCACCTTAGATGGCTGCTCATGAGCTTTTAAGATCCCAGACACTACTCACTGAAGTAGCATGTACAACACTGTCTTCGGGGACTATGTTATGCCAATTGACCATGGTGTCCCCTGAGACTATGATGCTGAGCTCCTAGGCCTAGAAACTCAAGGTATTTGTTAATGTCTAAGAAATTGTCATCATTTTGTTCCCTGTTTGCTCCACCACATTAATAGATGTGTTTACAGCAAAGGTAAATACCCAAGTACAAATATTCTCTGTTAAACTCATGTATCTCTGGATATATTCCCTCTCTCCCTCCCATACTTGTTCAGCTTGTATATCTATCCATGTATCTACCTTTACAACACTGCTGTTGCAGGTTGTGTGCATAACAGTATTTCCTTCTATCCCCTTTAACTCTTGCATTCCTCCCTGTGCCTTTACCTGTCTTCCTCATTCTTCTGCTGACCTCCCTTTTGTTGTATATTGTATTCCCTATCACAAGAGTTGTAAAACCAAATAGCCACCACTCATTAACAACCTGCAATATGCAGATGATACACCCT